GGTGATGGAGAAGATAGACCTAGGATTGTTTAATTTGCCTTCCAAAGTTCCAGCCAGGAAATGCAGGAAAAAAAATATTTACTGGAAAGGTGGGGGATAAAGTGATTATTTCTTAAATACATGATATGGCTATCTCCTTGAAAGAAGCCAAACGAATCAGCCAGAAGACCTTTGGAGTGAGGAGCAGTGAGATGACCCAAGACAAAAGAAATTCTTAGCAGCCAGTCCCCAGCTGCTGTGTAGTCAGGGATCAGTTAGACAAGGCAGCGGTGGAGGGAAGGATGCTCCGGAACGGAAAAGGACCCTAACCGCCCACGGGTAGATGTTAGATACAATGTTAGACTTCTTTAGACAAGGAAGAAGAACCACTCCCTCCTCCTGGTGAGGTGCTGCTCACCACAGATGTGGCTGTTTGAATTCACCAGGCTGCTCCATGGGAGACGTGGCAGCCTGCTTCCAGAGAGACGGGCAGCCTGGAGGACCCCGGGGGCTGTTCTAACCTGTCCAGTAAGGCCACTCTGAGTCAAAGTCAACTTGATGGCCATGGGTTTGGTTTGGGTTTATTAGTAGGACTTCCTGGAATAAACCCTATTTCAGGGGTCCTCAAACTACCGCCTGCGGGCCACACGCGGCCCGCAGAGGACATTTATCCGCCCCGCCGGGTGTTTTTCCTCCATTTGTTTTTTTACTTCAAAATAAGATATGTGCAGTGTGCATAGGAATTTGTTCATAGTTTTTTTTTAAACTATAGTCCGGCCCTCCAACGGGTTTGAAGGACAGTGAACTGGCCCCCTGTTTAAAAAGTTTGAACACCCCTACCCTATTTGGTCCTGTAACATTATTTTCACATATTGCAAAATTCGGGTTGCTAGTATTTTCTTATAGTTTGGCAGCTTAATGGCATCATGGTGGTTGCTGTGTGGGCACACACGTTCCTTCTCGTAGGCTTTAGTATTGCGGTTAGACTAGTTTCACATAAAAAAGCCAGGACTCTTGCCTGTTGCAAGCCCCGGAGGAGGTTATATCACGAAGGAGTGGCAGAGGGAAAGGCAGGGCGGGGCGAGCGACCATGGAGTCAATTGCTACACTTTCAGCCATGGGTCTGCCTCCCCCATCCAGTTGACTTAACGAAGACGCCATCATTCCCCCAGGCTCTGTCTTCCTCTCCGGAAAATGGGAAGAGTAGTAATATCGGCCTCAAGGGGGTCGGAGCAGGAAGGAGAGCTGGGAGCCCACTCCTCTGACCTGGTGGAACCTCGGCCACTCTCACTGGCCCCTTGCCTGCCCCTTGGCTAGCCCCTGCCTTTTGCCCAAACACCTACAATTGAGATTGGGGTGGGGGGCTCCTTCCTGTCAACACACTTCACCAGCCCTCGGTTCCCATTTCCATATGGGTCTCTGATGGCAGGCCAGTGTGTCGAGAACCTGGCAGAGCAGATAGAACATGACAGCAGAAGGATCCGAGATGATATAATTAATAATAGTAAAAAAAGTGAGATTCCTAGGAACTCCCAGAATGAATGCCTGGAAATAATCACTAAACTGTCCCAAGACTCTTTTGTTAAGCAACAGTTCAGCCCAATTAATAAACCATATTTGCCTCTCACAGAGCTCTCTCTCAGAATCATCTGTCTACGAGCTGACTTGGACAACGGTCCATCCACAGCTCAGATGAGAACTGTAAGGGGCAGATAACCGAGATGAATCGTGATGCAGCAGTATGGGTGGGGGCAATGAGAATGGTGGCACATGGTGTAGCACATAACCAGTGATCTTGGTCTGTTCATATGGGAATTCTGAATGGATGCCTGCTTGGTTGTGTGTATAAACCCACAAAAAACCCAAACACACTGTCATTGAGTCCATTACAAACCATAAAAACAAAACCCATATAGAGTTTCTGAGGCTACACCTTCATGGGAGCAGATAGCCTCAAATTTCAACTGAGCAGCGAGTGGGCTTGAACTATTACTGACTTTGAGGTTAGCAGTTCTATGCCTGGTTGTACATATTGTCACCAAAAATGAATAAGATACTGAAATAGGAAAAAGGAAAGAAATCAAAATTAAATTAAACAAATAATTTTTAAATGGGTATGCTAAATTACTAAAAAGTTGGGTTTATCTAAGGTATTCAAGAAAATGTGATATATTTTCTAGCATAATATTAGATGAGGGGACTTCAAAAAGTTCAAGGAGAAAAATGTATTAATTTTCAGTTTCATTTTTCCACGAATGTTCTGTAGCCCTCTGGTACTTCACGTGGGAGCGTACAAAGATATGCGCTACACGGCTCCTTTTTGATCCTAGACTGGCTTCACTTCTGTGTGGGCTCAGTTTAGCCACCTCCATTGCACAGACACAGAAGGTGAAGCTGCAGGGTCTCACACCTGTGTGGCTTCCTTGGAAAGAGCAGCCTAGTTCCCACACAGGTGGCTAGCACCCCGCACACTCACCGCCCGTGGAACTAGAGCACTCTGGGAAAACAAGCTCCTACTCAAAATGAAAAGTCCTGCTTGTTGGGAGATGAAAGTGGGGCCTATGAGGTGGGGTGGGGGTGGGGCTATTTCTCTAATTTTCGAGAACTTGAGATGTCCCGAAGTGTTTCCCCAGCCACTGTGCATTTCACCTTGGGGTGTCTAAAGCCCCTGCCTGTCATTCATTTGACATTCAGCATTGACTCCTGACAGCTGGTAATGTGAATTACAGAACGTCCTTCAGATCTGAAGATTTTTAATTTGCCATTTCTAAGAGTTGACGATGGGCATCCCCCAGGGGCTACTGATTTCCTGCTCCTCCTGGCTCGACCCTGCCCGGTGACGCTGAGACCATACACCTCCTGGACGGTGCTGCCACCCATAACATTGTTCCCGGCAGAGCAGACAAAAGGCCTTTCAAGTGCGTTGTTCGGGAGTGAAGTTCAAGGCACCTCCCCGTGCTTTCTTCCTGGTATGGCCACAAGAGTTGAAGGTGTGTCAACGTCAGGATTATGGAAAGAGAATGAAAAAATGTTTTTATCAGCAGCAGAGGTTTGAGAAACTGCATCCCAGGAATCCGGAACCTGGCTTTGGAAGATGCGTCCAGTGTGCCGTGTGGTGGCTGTGTGCTCTTTGAAGCCGACGCCTTGCTTGGGGCACAGAGCAAACAAGGTGAAGCAGAATGAAATTTTAAACAGGCTCTTTGGGTTTGGAGTGAGCTTCCAGTGCCGAATCTCCACCCATGAACAGCAGCCGAGCTGGAGACAGCTACAGGCTAGCAACGCACTTGTGGCTGGTTTTCCTTCCTCCTTGCCGAGCATACCACAAAACCAGCCTACCGCTGTTGATTCTGACTCAAAAGGACCCTGCAGGAGAGAGTAGACTTGCCCATGGGGTTTCTAAGACTGCTGCTCGGAGCACACTCTCCCACAGAGTGGCTGGTGGATGCAAACTGTTGACCTTGCATTTTGCAGCTCAGTGCTGAACTACTGCCCCGCCAGGGTGCCTTTGAAAAGAAAGAAAATGGTTAATTAAAATTAACCCTCTTAATCTGGTTTTGAGAATAAAAAACATAATTGTGTCAGTCCTTATGGTGAACCCATACAATATTAATAATGTACCCTGGTGAGATCTGTGCCCACCTCCCCTTCTTCACAGCCTCCGAACCGGGAAGCAGGGCCCAGCCAGAGCCTGTGGCAAATCAAACCCTGGTGGGGAGAGAGGAGAGCTCCTGGAAGATGCGAAGAACGGTGGTGGAGGAATCAGCCCTTGATAGACCCAGCGTGTCACCCGCTGCCGTGCCGGCTGGCTGGCTGTGTTTCGTCTTTCTTGACTGGATTTCCCCTTCCCTCCAAATCTCAACATCCACACTTTGCTACCCCCAGGCAGAAAGGACTCAGATGGTCTCCTGTTTCCCTTTTATCAACCTCTCTGCGCTTTAGTCCCCCTCTGCATGAAGCAGGATGAGCCCTAGGTAGGGCAGAATTGAGTGTGAACGAGGTCCCTCCTCTTTTGTCCTTATGGGAAATGAAGGGAGAAAGAAGCAGAGGTGTGACCTACGGACGGCATTCCTTGTAATCGGTTCACTCACTCTCAGCACTGGTCCTGAAGGGATCATCCATCCTGGATTCCCTGTTTCCAGTTCCTATCTGTACCAGTGTCCATCCTCTGGTCTAGCCAGATTTGTAAGGTAGAATTGGGATCATGATCGTGGAAGGGGAAGCATTTAGGAACTAGAGGAAAGTTGTATGTTTCATCGTTGCTGCACTGCACCCTGACTGGCTCGTCTCCTCCCTGCGACCCTTCTGTAAGGGGATGTCCAGTTGCCTACAGATGGGTCTTGGGTCCCCAATCTTCACCCCTCTTTCACAATGATTTGATTATTTTCTTCTTTGATGCCTGATAATTGATCACTTCACTTCGTGATCACACAGGCTGGTGTGCTGCTTCCGTGTGGGCTTTGTTGCTTCTGAGCTAATGGACGGCATTCCTAACAACGACCACTTACTATCCTTCTGTGTACTCCCATCTTCCTATGGAGTAGTCAAGGAGATCTGTCACAGTGTTGAATTGATACACTGCCCAGTGGCGTTTTCTGATAAGCCCACCATGCGTTCCCTTTTCCTATTTTCCGAGACTGTCAGCTTGGCCGTGGTGATGGTCAAGTGGATTTGTGTAGCTATGTTCCGGGATTTCACTTCAGGGCCACAGAATTCATAATCTCTGCAATATGGTCAAATACGATGACGTGCTAACTCTGTGGATGGAATTTGGCAGTGAAATGGGTGTGCCATTCCAACATAGTCATGTTTTAGTATTTAGTTTTTCTTAAGACCGTGTGACGTCATGTGATTCCAGAAGAGATTCTTATTCAGTGTAGCACCCTTGCTTCTCGGGAGCATTGTTCAGATGGTATTTCAGAACCTCCAAGTTCAGGAGGAAGACTTGATGGGTAGCATGCGAATGAACTGTTCTCATTGGCCGGTGCCTCTGATGCCCATGTTTTGTCTCCTGTCTCCTTTAGGAGGGTCAAGAAGAATAGCATCATCCTAAGGACACAGCTGTCAGTGAGGGTCCATGCCTGTATTGGTGAGTGACATCTACAGAAGGGATGCATGTCATGTTGCTCATCGATTCAACACACACACACACACACACACACACACACACGATGAGACATGGGATCAAATAAAATATGCTTTGTTATGCCAGCTCCTTGAATTCACCCTGGTCATAGATGGTTTGCGTTCTTGTGGGAAGCTACTGATAGCAATCACTCTTCCAGCCCTGTTTCATTCCGATTTCCATAGCTTCTTGGCTAGTGAATGGAGCTTGAGGTATTGTTGAATCAAGTTTGGTCTGCCAGGCTGGGTGAGGTGAAGTTCTTCCTGGGCATGCCAGCGTCAGCCTCCAGCCCTGAGGGTGGGAGGCTGGGCTGCCAGAAGTCTTCAGAGACGCCCTGCTGTGGGTGGAAGCACGAGCCCCTGCGTGCTTCTGGAAGCTCTGAGCTTCCTGGTAAGGAAGTGGAGGCTGAGGCTTGGTTAAATGGCTGAAAAGGACAGCTTCAATTGGCATGGGATGGGGTGGCGGGGGACACAGCGCAGTGGGTTATGCATTGGGCACTCCTTGGGAGAAGCTACCAGCTGCTCTTCCCGAAAAAAAAAAACCACGAGACTTTCCACTCCCGTAAAGAGTTATGGTCTCAGAAATCCACAGGGCCAGTCTCGTCTGTCCTAAGGGTTGTGATGAGTCAGAATTGATCCGATAGCCATGGGTTTGGTGTTGGTGGCGAGGGGGGAACACAGTACAAAACAGTGGTAAGTGAACAAATGTTTTGGGGGGCTCAGAGTGGCCCCCATGGCCACTCTGGAACTTCATGGTGGCCTTTGGTTTTCTTGGGTCCGTTGGACCTTCTGCCTAAAGACAGCCAAATTGCAGTGAAATTGCGTTTATGCCAAATAGACAGCCCCTCTGTGAATAGTCTCTACAGTTTTGGCCAGGTTTCTTCTTGGCTTTGGTCTCTAAGTTATAAAAGCAACTTTAAGATATCATCATACAAGAAGGAACCAAAAAAGGTACACTCTCTGGGTGGAAGTTCCTTATATCTGAGCAATTTTGCTTTTAACTAATATGTATCAAGGCCCTAATGCCAGACTATACTCAGGAACAGCCATACTAAAAGTAGCAGAGCAGAGAATTCCTCCTTTTGAGGGTCCTAGCCCACAGCTGTAGCGTGGTGTCCATCCATCGGTGGATAGGGAGGAATTGCATCTAGTCCCCGCTCCCTCCCCTGCTGGAGATCCAGAGAAGGCACGGGTGGCTGGATGTGGAAGACAGCTTGTGTCATTTTCCTTCATTTCATGCTGAGTGTGGTGCGAGCTTGCCCGTGTCTCAGTGACAGCCTTGGTCGGAATCTCTCTATGGAGTGACTGGCGGGTAGTCAACTCACACACCCAAGGGACTAGGAGGAGGTCAGGGGCAATGAAGCTTTGCCGTTTGGGGGGAAATGCAGTACTATATGTCAGACCTTCAGTCAACATAGATCATGCTGCATCTCAACTGCCTACATGTAGCATGGAAGTGATGGTAGAACATGATAATAAAACAGTTATGTTTTATTACCTGCTTTACACTTTTCCAGTTATTTTATTTGTATGAATCATGTCTACCTAAAGACTGTACCCTATGACTTTAGATATACTTCTCCCAGCCTTCTTCTGTATTCTAGTTCAAATCCAGGCGTATAGCATGTACTGCATCCTGTAGAACAGCGGTTCTCAACCTGTGGGTCACGAACCCTTTGGGGGTCGAACGACCCTTTCACAAGGGCAGCCCGATTCATAACAGTAGTAAAATTACAGTGATGAAGTAGCAACAAAAATAATTTTATGGTTGGGGGGGGGCACCACAACATGAGGAACTATATGAAAGGGTCGTGGCATTAGGAAGGTTGAGAACCACTGCTGTAGAAGTTAATATTGGTTGAAATAATACTGCTGATGGTTGTAATGCATAATGAATGGAATTAATGCCACTGAACTGTACCTGCCAAAAATGTGGAAACAGCAAATATTTTGTCTTACACACACAAAAGACCTTACTGCTCAAAGAAAGATGGAATAAAAAGATAATGGAATGTTCATGACATACACATATATGTGTATTTGTGTATCAAGAGCTATCCCTCCATCCCTCCATCCCTCCATCCCTCCATCCATCCATTCATTGGTCAAAAAATATCACTACTAGGTTTGCAGTTCATACATGCATGGGTTTGTTCCAAACGAGACGTCTCTGAACGTGTTTCTGCCCTCAGTGGCTGGCCACAGACAAGTGTTCACACACGTCTTAGTCTTCTTAGAGTGACATCAATTAAAAAGGTCCAATCAAAACTGTGCCTTCTGAGGGACCAATTAAGTTCAAGGCAGAGCAGTCAGCTCAGAAGGTTCTAGTAACTGTGTTTTGAATTCCAAAGGGGTCATCTTGGTACATGTTCTCAGGATGAGCACAGGAACTTAATAAGAAGTAGTTTTAAGAAAATTGAAAACTGCACTGGCGAGGGGTCAGGGAAATTGCAACGAGAATTTGTTCCCATCACAATGGGCCTGCTCACTCTTTGAGGGTAGCAAGGGCGGTCCTATGAGAATGTCGTTGGGAAACATTACCCTAGTGACCCCGTATCCCTGCTCTTTCCCCTTCAGACTTATTTTTGTTCCCCAAACTCAGAGTTAACATTGAAAGGGAACATAATCTGAGTCCTTGAAGGATGCCCAAGCTGCCATTTGGCTTTCGCCCCTTCCTTGTGACCCTTCTGTGAGGGGATATCCAATCATGTACAGATGGGCTTTGGGTCACCACTCCGACCCACCTCATTTGCCTTGATATAATTGCTTGATTTGGATCTTCTGATCCTGTTGACACTTAGTGATCACACAGGCTGGAGTGCTCTTTCCGTGTGGGCGAAGCGATCTATCTATGTAGATAGAACACTCCCTGCCAAGTCTAGCGTCAGCCTTACAATTGTTATCTGGGAGCCCATTTTTGCAGCTGTTGTGTCACAATTAAAATATGCTTAACACAGTTAAAATATGTATATATGTATATCTGATAACCACTGGAGATTTGTGGCATGAGTGTAGATTGCTATTTTCCAGGAATAGCTAATTAGTGGAAAGCAAACTTCGCTTAAAATGGAATAGATAAAAATTGGAATGAGAATGTTCTTTGAGGAAAATTCTATGAGCCCCCAATAAAATGATCTTTTAAGTAAAAACAAACAAAAAAAAACCATAACCAAAAAAAAGGAAAGAAAATTCACTCTTTTGCAATGCGCTAACATATTTCAAGTAGAGATGCTTCCCTAATTTCCCTCTTATTAACTTGCTGTATTAATTTAAATATTCAGCAGCCTTCATGTAATAGTTATGGAACTGTGGCAGGCTGGACGACCACTCATCCCCACTCTCTGGGAGCAAGGACATAGGTTTTCCTGCACTGAGTCATTGATTGAACTGTGTGCTGACAAAGTCAGTGTGTTTGATCTCAAACCACTGGTTGGGATTATATAAGTGGAATGAATAGTATATAAGTATTTTATAAGCTGATTAAGTATGCATATAAAGTATTTGCTTCAGAAGACTCAATGGAAATAGGAGCCCAAGGAGAAAGTGGGAAGAGTTCGAATACATGGAAGGAATTGTAACTCGTGTCATGAAACAGAATAAGCGTACGTTGTTGAATGGGAAACCCGGTTTGCCTGTAAACTCTCACCCAAACCACAATACAATGTTTAAGAAAAAAGATCACTGCTTCTGTGGAAATATATTGAATGTTTTATAAAGATTCAAAGATGGTTACTGAAAAGGCATGATTGTCAAACTTTTGTGAATCCCAATAGAAAGTAGGAGACCCTTGTTAAAATGCAGACAGAGCCATTAGATGTATAAGTGTCTTCAATTCTTGCTTGATTTCAAAGAAACAGAAATGACAATTGTAGACCACATTATTGGAGTGGTTTGTAAAAGTAGGTCCGCATGAAATCCCAGGGAATAGACCCTGATTGAAAACATTGATTGTGGCCTGCAGCAGACCATTCACGCCTGTCTCCTCATCTGATGACCCACAGCCCCTCATCTCAGGGACTGTGATGGAGGGTCAGTCACCAGAACCGTAAGTTCAAATAAAGTCGTAGGAGCTAGTGTATCTTTTGTCTAAGGGTACTCTCTTTACCTGGTTTTCACCATTAACCACTCAGGCTTGATTGTGTTGGGAGGGAAGGATTGACTCTCAAAATTAACTGTCACACTGAAGAAGGCAACTTTTTCTTTCTTTTTATTGAAAACGATTTCTTATTTCATTTCCTATTATTGACAGGATCTGGAATAGATTTATTATAATATTACCCTTTGGTTATGTCTATGCAATGGAATGTATGCATCATTTTATGAAGCACCTCCCCTCATTGTGACATCTTCTTACTCTTTCCAAATGGCAACATTAGATGGATTTCTTTGGGATGGATGGAATAAAACCCAAATCTGAAACAATTTCCAGTTAAAACCTCAATGGAGAAAATGACAAAGGGGGAGGACAAAAATCAAAACAAACCCAAACAATTTCTTCACGTGAATTGTCTGAGGCCTTTTTTCTTTTCAAAATTATCTCCCCTCTTCATAGAAGTAGATGAGTGAGTATAGGTGTTGGACACACTGGCCACGGCCTCAGACCACCGACCATATCTGACCCCCAAAGGCCTTCTTTCCCACCCCAGCATTGGACTGGGAAGATCCAGGATCAGATTTTGTCTTGGAGGTTTAAAAGGCTGTCAAGAACATTTCTCCGAAACAATGTTTTCCTCACCGGCTTCATTCCTGCTTTTATTAAGTGTCGGAATGTTTAGCATCCAGGGCTGCTGATGAATTGGAGGAGACACGTCCTTGGAATTCTCCAGTATTAACGTGGAGCCCAGCGCCTGTCGGGACTGGAGTGAAGAGGAGCTCTCATGGCGAGCAATGGAGCAAACCTCATGAAAAATGAGCACGTGGGCTCTGCTTTGATGCTCCCAGCAAGCAGTGGAGACGGTCTTTGCC